CTTCCAAGTCAAAATTAGGTTAAAAATAGAAAAATGGTTTGTAAGTTCTTGCCAATTTAATTCAAACTCCCCAAAGACTTCTAAAACTCAGAAACATCATTTGAAGTTTTTGTATTAACTTAAAGATGTTAAAATGATTTGAAACTATAAAGACTAGTTGGCAAAAGGTTCAAACTAGATAGGCTTAACAAAATAATTTGTGAAAAATTTAATATCAAGACTTAAATTTCAAAAAAAATGGTTTTTGTGATCTGAAGTCATCCAAGAACTTCAAACTTATTTTCTTTGATTTTTAGAAGTAAAGAAAATTGAAGATTTAGATGTTTCTTTAGGCCTAAGCAAGGAAAGGGACCAAAAACAACAATTAACTTCCAAAACTCTTACAAACAAGCAAACTTTATTGTAAATAAAATTAAAAATCATAGAAAATTATACTAATATCTAAGGATCACTAAACATATTTTTATGGAATTATATCTGGGGAGAAAAAATTAAAACAGAAAATATTTACAAAATGCAACAAAAATAGCAAAATAATGACATAGCTAATCAATTGATTTAATTAGTATGCCAATTTTTTTTTTAAAATAAAAAATATTTTAAAGAAGTAGACTCAAAAAGAGACTCAGAACAATTTTTGTCGATTTTTTAGGTTTATAAAAATTAGAAAATAAAATTCAAAATCTTAAAAGGTGATCAAAACACCTAATTAAACTAATTGAATTATTTAATCATGAAAAAATGATAAAAAAAATATGAAATAAAATTCAGAATATGAAAACATACTAAAAATTAAGTTTAGAATATTTTTGTGATAATTTTTAATCAAAGAAAATATTAAAACAAAATTAAAGAAAACAATTAAAAATGAAGTAAAATTCAAATGGATTGAAATCTATTACACCTGTTTAAAAACAGAAGCGTTGTGAAAAGCTTTGACACATGATCAATCAAAACACGCCACATTATCATCCCTACCAAACATCAAACCCTAACACGTTTGGATCAGCTTAGCATGAAATGTTCTCATGCTTGTATCTCGCTCATTTCTTGATGAAAACTCAAAATGTAAACATCAAAGTTCAAGATTAAAAGGCGTATAATGCAATAGGATCAATAATTTCATCAAATGATGCATGGATCATAGAGAAATTATGGCGCAAAAGTCACTGATCTCAATAAAATATGAACATGCTTAAAACATAATTATATGCAGTTTTCAGATATGAAATTCTCCTTCGTTTCTCTTCCAAATCAAGTGATCCAAACATCAAAATTCTTCACAAGAATGCAAGGAACAACAATATGATCATAGATTTTTCAAATGATGTAAGATCAAGTAAGGATCTGAGCACGAAAGTACTATTTCAAGCAAAATTTCAAGAAACTTGCAAGGCACGAATTAAACATCAAATCACACTTGAATATACATCAGATCTAAGATCTGACTAGCTAAACCACAATGCTCAAGATTCACAGTAGAAATTCATGCGATAATGTGAGGTTTGAAGTTCATGAATATTATCTCAAGTTGTGAAAAATAAATTCACAAGGTGCCTCTGATTTTCAAGCAAGAAAACCGATGATTCTTCTTCTTTCAACTTCAATGTATTAGAATTGCGCAGAGATTGAATCTTGAACAAAGAATTTGAGAGAAACTTGAAGAAACATATTCTGACTTGGAAGAAGAAGAAGCTTTGTGTGAGAGAAAGATGCAGAGTGTGTTGCTTGCAGATTTAAGGTGTGTGTTTTATATAAAGAGAAGCTTCTCTTATATAGAAAGAGAAAGAGTGTTGGAGAAGTTTTGATAAGGGCATGAAAGTCTTTTGATGTTTGGAGCCGTTGGAGGGCTTTTGTGTCAAAGCTGGCAGATTTTAGTGAAGCAATATGAGTCTCGCATTTTGTGCTTAAACGGTGTCATACTTGCCGCATTTGGATGAGTGAAATTAGAGAGGGAATTAGTGAAATAAGTGTGAGAATGGTGAGCTGGCATGCTGCACATAGGGTGGGAGAAAAGTGGAGGAATATTGCCAATAATAGAAATCACGAGGACTGCATGCTCATGCATGTGTTTTGCTTTATTTTGAAAGAAAGTAATAATGAGATCATGATGTATAATGCATGCATGAGGTGCATGATAAAAATTATGTAGTGAATCAATCCAATGATGCATTTCTATTTCTACCTTGCCTTGCTACCACCATGTGAATAATTCATCTTTAATCAATATCTCAAAATCTATTCGTGTGTTTCTCATGAAAATGGAGCCTTTAGAAAGCTTAGATGATAAGCTTTAAGATTGATGTTGATGAAGATTTAAAATGAAGCCTGCATCATGTTAAAAACTTGGCACGAAAAAAATTGAAAAATGACCTGTCCAAGTCCTCTGTGCGCGCATGACATTACTTATGGCCAGAAAAATAACACATGATGCCTTTGAGTTCATAACCCTACAACTTTCTCCATAATGCTCAGAATGAAATGAGTCTTGAACCAAAATTAAAGGGGACACAATAATATCCAACTTTGTTGTTCAACACTTTTTAAAATTATGATCAATTCAATAAGAAAGATGGCGGTGAAAGTGTTCTCACCATGTGCTTGATGAAAATCCGTGCGTGAGGCTTCCTTTGCTGAGCAAAGTTGCCTTCTCAAGGCCTCAAGTCCTAAACTTAATATCTTCCTCCACACTGAACCAAATGAAGTGATCCTTGAATCAAAAATGTATAGAAGGATTCAAACTACAATTTTGATGTTGACACTTTTCAAATTTAAAGCCATTTGAAACCTCAAAAATGGACATGAAGAAATTATGTCTTGTGCATACATTTGAAAAATCACTAAGTGTCAAGAATCTTCCAAGCTTGATAAGTCTTTCTCCTTTCATTTTTTGGAATAAATTTATCAAGTACAAAGTTGAAGAACTTTTTATCCTCTTTCCAACCATGTAAAGTTTGAAGTTTTTCAATAAAAATTGAAGAAGTTTGAATTTTTAAAGTTTAGTACTATGAACACTTTAGAAATTCAAATATTCAAATAACTTCTTGAACAAGTCATCCTCAAATTCAACAACTTCTTTGATTTTCCTTCATCAATGATCATGTATCATGAAAATAGGGATGTTGAATTTCATGTTGACCAAAAATCCCTTTGGTCACAGTTGACTTTTGCTCAAATGACTATTTTACCCCCAATTGATCCATTGAACCACTTCCAATCAAAATTGATGCTCAATCCTTCAATCACAGGTGCTCATAAATATGTAGAGAAGTATGAAATCAAGTCTTGCCCAAAGAGTCAAAGATTTCCTGATTAAATCCAAAACCCTAATTCCCCCCCCCCCCCCTCCCCCCCCCCCCCCCCCCCCCCCCCCCCCCCCCGTGCTAAGAGATGATGGTTCAGTCTTAAAACCCTAATTCTTCTGGGCATGATGAGAGATTCTTTGAACAAAGATGTCTCATATGATAATGAGAGGATATTACTTCAAAAAGTTGGCCCACACAAGTATCAAACACTTCATCTGGCCAAAACCCTAATCTCAAGAGATGAATAAGAGATATGTGATTCACAAATCAACACTTACAATTTCAAACTTCTGATAAATCAAAGAGACAATTGAGATGTCTTGAAGTATGAGAAACCATTGTAGCTTGAGTGACTCAAAGATTGAGGGTATGAGACCTTTCTTGCACTGATTGTCAACACAATCAATTCTCCATAGCTTGTAGAGGAACTTGGGAAACAAAATACCTTGATCCCATCATAAAAATGCACGAGTATGTATGATGGAGCATAATCCATATGAGGTAAAATGAAGAGGGTAGATTTTGGAGTGCAACAGAAGGCCATAAATTTTATGAGTTTCACGGGGAAGAGCTTTCCTAGAACGTGAAACCCTTCAACATTTCATGAATTTCATGGGGAAGAGCTTTCCCAGAACATAAAATTCATCTAAAGACATGGCTAATCAAAAAGAGAAAAGGAAAACACTTACTTGTTTAAGGGTTGAACGAGGGTCACGGCGGCAGATAGGCGGTTGAGAAAAAAATGCAAGAAGAGAAACGAGAAGGGAGAGCAAAGTGAAACTTTGCAAGTGAACCCCAGAGGTCTTTATTTATAAAATCTGTACTAGAAGACAAAACGTTACCTCGGATGGCATGTCAACACCTCGACATGCGGCCGCCCACACGCCTAAGTCATCATGACCTTAATGGCATGTCACATTAATGGAAATCGACAAGTGGCTCAAAAAGCGATCCCTGGTACGGACCTTCCAACTCCCCAGAAGTCGAGCATATCCCTCAAACACGAAGAAAGTTTTTCCTAACGAGCGTGCTCCCGCAACACAACTACAAGGTGCACGAGCGCGCTCTCCGCGAGCACACCTTGACTCCTGACCATGATGCCTACTTTCATCTTCTTTGCCTGCACTATCTCCCCGAGCGGGACGGGCTCACGATTAGGGTCGTTAATCTGGACGACCACGTTCCCTCATGCATGCCCTAGACTAAAAGTCGATGCCCGCATCTGCATCAATACATGAGCCGACCTGAAAGTCATAACTCTTATACTTAGGATCAACGACTTAGGGGGCTCCTGTTTTGGACTGAGCCTGCAGTTAGTCTATTGTTGGACAAGACCCAACCCAACTCTGTTGCGAAGAAGGACCACCACAGTGGGCCAAGTTGCTGTGACGGGGAACATCCTCGCACGTGCCCGTCAACGGGGTCTCCTCCACGTGTCTGCTGGGGAGCGTCTCCTTTACATGTCTATGGGGTCATCCTTCCCTCCACGTGTTCACTACATGGTTATTTTTAATGTATTTTAACTAAAGACATATACACTACTTTATAAATAAATACATATATAAGCGAGTTTCCATTCCAAACCAGCCGGGTTTATTATTTTTAGAATTGTATGAAATAGTTAAATTTTAATTGTTTTAATGGTTTATTTTCGGCTAATATTATAGTTGGTGTGATTATTCCAATTTCCATCAAATGTCAGCCTCAACAGATTCATCTCTTACAGCACAAGAAGATCAGCCTCAACAAATTCAACTACTAGCATCAACTGATGATGATTATGATGGCGTTATCGTCGAAATCAACGACCTTGTTATGGATTCTACTACCTTTTTATCCATTCTTAGACCTTCAATTTCAAGCTGGAAACAACAGGTTTTAGTTTCTTTAATTCATATAATGGATGCAAATTATGCATGATTACTTTGTTAGATTGGTGTTATATGTGTTGTTGTGATCCAAATTATAGCTGTATAGGCTTGTCTTGTGTTGTAGTCAGTTCTGTTATCATTAATATGCCATATTCTCCATGAATGCTTCAATAATCTTTTAAAGGCAGATTTTGGATGAAGATGTGGTGTTTTCCTCTCTTCTGGGGAGCCGAATCCGGATCCTGTTATATGATGCGGGGGAGATTCTTAGGTTTAAGTGACTATGAATGAGAAAGACTCACACTTGTGGGAGAGATTGTTTGGTTCAAGTGTGAGTAGTTAAGTCTCATTCGCTCACACTTGACCCATATATCTAATGCCTTAATTTTTTGGATGAAGATTGGCGGTACATTAAGGTTTTGGGTGAAGATGTCACTTCTTATTTTCTTGTGGTCCTAAAACATTGATCTATTGTTGATCTTTGCAATTATTCAACAGTAATATTTTCGAGTTTACATTAACATTTCTGGTCTGACTTGCATATAATTGATTCAGTTTCCTGTTTATTTAGTTTCCGAGTAAGTAAAAACCAATTGTGTTGGAGTTTTTTAGAAGATAAAATGTGTTTTTTTAAAAACTAACAAGCTTATAATGTATAGCAACAAACCATGGGTCTTGAAAATGGATTGTTTACAGTATGAATGATTTTTTATGCTTTATTCAGCTCAATGTTATCAAATATCTGCAATGGCGTCGCTACGGTGGATATACGTGGCGGTTTTTGGGCTCGCCACAATGGTAAATATCGGCTGATATTGCTGGTTTTTCCGCCTTAATCCGCTATAACGGTGCCACCAAGCATCCTGTATGGCGGGATTTTCAGCTAGAATGTTTGTCTTGTTCCTTATTACCTGTGTTGGGAATCTGGAAACTGTCACTATCTTTGTTTAGTTGATGCATTGTCTTGTAGGGAAAGAAGGGCGTTTGGATAAAATTACCTATTCATCTGGCCAACCTTGTTGAAACTTTAATTAAGGTGAATTTACTACTTACACTTATTGATTCTTTGAGAATTTTTTTAACAGTTGAGGAGAAAATGAATTTAAATCATCTCCTTGAGTACTAACTTTTTATTTTAATCATTATTACTTGTGTGTTACAATTGTATGCAGGAAGGTTTTTGGTATCACCATGCAGAACCAAAATATTTGATGCTCGTACATTGGATTGCAGACAGTGCAAACACAATTCCGGCGAATGCCACACACCGAGTTGGTGTTGGAGCGCTCGTGGTGAATGAAAAACGAGAGGTATTTACTCATTAATAATCATAATGCAAAGCAGCTACTTGATCAGACTTCTGCGCATTTTTGAAGCAACACCACTCTCATATGGTTAGAAGGCTGTCGCCAATATTGTTATATAAACCATTCCTTTATCATGAGAATAGAATTTGCATATTTGACACTTAATTCTTATGCGCACACTATACTTCAATCTTTCAAATACATTAGTTATTAGTTATTCTAAAGGAAGAAACACTTTGCATCTCATTGACTCATAGAAATAACTTTGACGAACGGCCTTTATCGTTATTAGTTATTCTAAATCCTATCTTCATACTCTCTGACATATGAAGTCAAATGAAACTTTTCTCATGTATGCTTCCGCTCGTTTCTGAGCGGCAGTAGATCCACCTGTTTACCTGTGTGATCTGTTTTCAGTATTTTCCGTGATAATGAAAAATGCGTCTCTCACCAAGCATAATTGTTCAGAATTCAAAATTGCTAGTACTGTACTACTGTTTTCTTATTTCCTAGTTATTGAACGATGATAGGTTCTAGTGATTCAAGAAAAAACTGGACATTTTAAGGGAACTGGATCCTGGAAATTCCCTACTGGAGTTGCTGATCAGGTAAATGTGTTGATTATCTTTTGCTAATTAATTTAAGATGTTCTCAGTTTATAATTTATACAGGCTACTCATTCTTCCGCAGGGCGAAGAAATTTGGGAAACAGCAGTTAGAGAGGTCAAAGAAGAAGCGGGAGTGAGTAATCTCTTTGTGGTACCTTACCGATTGAATATGGACTAGACATGAAATTGGCTATTTGATCAACCTAAAAAAACTATTCTGGTTCTAACTTCTAAGCCTAATAGTTCCAAGTTCTTTCAATTTTCACAGGTAGACTCAGAATTTGTTGAAGTATTAGCGTTCAGGTATCTATCATGTTTACATATAAGTATATTTCATTTCATTTTTATTTAATTTTTCTCGTGAGTTTGCAATTTTGATAACAAGACATTCACATTTCTTCTTTCATCCGATTAACAGACAAAGTCATGCGTCATTCTTTGAGAAGTCAGATCTATTCTTTGTATGCTTGTTGCGCCCTCTTTCTTCCGACATCAAAATCCAGGAAGTAGAAATAGAGGCTGGAAAGGTACGCCCACTTTCGCTAAAGCTATACAATCTTAAGGATCATCAAACTTCCGTAATTTCTCATATTGTTTTCGTTTAAATCGATAGATAGAGTTGATATTACTTATTCTGTGGTGCAGTGGATGCCATTTGATGAATATGCAGCTCAACCATTTATGGAAAAGTATGAGCTTTTGAGGCAGATTAATGACATATACTTAGCAAAGATTAATGGACATTATTCTGGATTTACTCCTGTATCTACAAAATCAAACTACTCTAACCAGAAAAATAGCTATCTTTACTTGAATGCTGGAGCCTTGAAGAGATCTAATTCTTTATAAAGCATTAGCCAAATTTTACAAACTTAGTGACTTAGCATTATTGTATTCATTGTCTGAAACTATGTAATACCGACACCTTTGCATAAAGGTGTGTCAGGGTCGGTGTCCGAAACTAACTCCGACATTTGGTATTACGTTTAACTTATTCATTTTTCATATTATTATTGGTATCGACGTGTTAATGTCGGTGTTTTCAGTGTCTGTGATTCATAGGTCTGAACACTCTCAAAAGCTCATTTTTTTTACTTTCTATCTATACATGTTAGAAATTAAAAAACCAGTTGAATTGTAATTATAATAACATCACTGTCATGTCACATATAAGAACAAGAATATGAAACATAGGTGGAGTTAATAAAACAGTTTGGTAGCATATACTAAACTATTGTCCTCTCTCTTGTGTACACCTGTTAGTAGTTACTTTGTCGCACAATGTTTTATTCTACACTATCATTATTTTCATCCCTTCATTTAAGCAAAGTCTTTGTTTCAAATTATTGTACATTATTACTTGAAATATTATATTGTACCCTTAATTAGTCACACATTCCAAAGTACTTTTGAACAAGAGTTTCATTTTGTCGAGAACACTTTTGAAATATAAATATTTAAGCATAAATCATGTTAAACTAAATTGATTTTTAATTAGTCTTGCTCAAACTTTTTTGTGCATGTACCATTGATGATTGTTTTTTACCCTTAGAAAATGCCTTACACTGCCAGCATCCACTAGGGGTACAATTTAATCCATTACATTCAAGTCAACTGTAATGAAAAGATATGCATTAGTTATAATGATATATCTTATCCATTTGTATATTATACTAGGAAATGTAGCCACTCAATTATTTGGATCTTTATGGAGCAGTTACCAATTAGGGAAACTTAGCCACAAATTTTTAGGGTCTTTCAAGTCAAAGTGTATGTTGAATTTATGGAGAGTTTGATAGTGACTCTAAATCACTATAATTTTGACAAAAAGTTTAGTAGTGCACAAGCTTAGGAAAAAAAAAATATATATATATTTACTGTAACGACGATTATAAAACTTATGAAAAAAAATGATATAAATTATTATTACTACTAATTTATTTATATATAAAATAAATTATCACGTAGGTCTTAAAAGATAAACTTAATGACTAAGTTAAAAGGTATAAATTAGGAAATACTAAAATTAATAGCTACGCTAATAAATTCAGAATCCATAATTCCTGAAGCTAAGCATATTTCTGAGCGTAACCTCATAAGCTTCTGATTCTGATTAATAACAACTTCTGCTTACATTAAACTACTGCTTCTAACTAAGCAGTCTCAGAAGCTTACAACTTCTGACTAACAACCTCAGAAGCTCAACTGTTTCTGAACAACAACATCTTCTGAATATGAATTACTTCCAACAAAAGAGTCAGATTCACCCTCCCTCCTCCCATAAGTCAGATCAAAGTTGTGATAATACTTATTAGAGAGTCTATAGAGAGTGCCACGAGTAACAACAAACCAATTTTCAATAACTATAAAAAAATATCACATCTTCGTTCAAAACTTTAAAGTGTTAAATAAACGAGTCACTTCAATATATTAAATGTTTAGTTCATTCAGATAATTGTAATAGTTTTAAAGATAATACGTATAACAAATCCCGACTTTTAAAAAAGATATATTTATTAAATAAAATATCAATGCATGTTCTGTCCGTTACATTGATGATTCATGATCACTCGTAGGATTACATGTCTTGTGCTAGCGACCCATCATTCAAATCGATGTGGTACTACTCACCGAGAGTTCAATCACATGAAACTATTATGAGATACTATTAAAAGATAGTAATTAAGCTTCAAAGTAACTCAAATTTTTTAGCAATCTTATTTCCTGCCCTTGATTTGTTGATGTAGTCTTACATTCTTCTCTTGTATGAAAGAATCCCAAATCACCATATATTATATAGATCTCAATCGCAATAATAAAAATACAAATCATGACAATAATATATAGATTTGTTTTTGAAATATAATCATCATGTATGTCTCAATCTGAACAACAATAACAAACTGTTGTATAGTATAGTTGTATAAACAATAATGAAACATTAAAAACCTGAAATAGTTATGGAAATATTATCATGATCATCAGCCTTGGAAGAATGGATGATGAGTATTACTAGGCTGCTGGTCTTTCCCAGCAATGATATACATAGAAAAATTGTTATCTCCTTCAATTTCCCTATACTTATTAAGATAAAGCTTAAGAGGTTGAGCATATTGTTCAAAACCAAGTGTAGTCATGGCCCAAACAAGATCATCACCGTTAATTGTTTTCCTCTTCTCCTTCTGACACTTTTCAGATGCTTCTCCAGTTATGAAACTTATGAACTCAGATACACACTCTTGCATAGTTTCTTTTGATTCCTTTGATATCTTTGCTTTTGATGGTAAAGCTTTCTTCATGATCCTTCCCACGTTGGCTATGGGAAGGAGTCTTTCTTGTAAAAGTTCCTTGCTCCCTGATGCTGCTTGACCACCTGACTCATCGTCTGATTCTGCCATAGATACCTACTTCGCTTCAATAACACTAATATATAAATAACCCTTGTTGACTATTGGGAATTTACTATTATATGTCAAAATATCCTTACAATAAATCATATATTTTATGATACAATTTTCTTCATCATTGTTAAAAAGGATTGGATTCATATTTTTAAAAAATTTCGCGTCTTCTTCATTTTATTTTTAAATAAAAAATAAATTATAATATTTTATAGTTGAAAATTTGAATTGGAAAAAATTGCATTAGTCATGGATTCTTCTCTCACCGTCAGCAATTATTTTGTTTTTTATAATAAAAATAACTTTCTTTCTTTCTTTATTTTTAAATTAAAAATATATTATATTTTCCACAGTTACGAATTCTAGCCGTGACAATTTCTTCTTTATTTATTTTTAAATTAAAAATAAATTATATTTTTTATAGTTAAGAGTTCTAACCGTGGAGAAAAATTATACTGGTCATTAGTTCCACTCAGCGCCATGAATTTTGTATTTTATTTATAATATAAGTGATACTTTTTTAAATTAAAACTAAATTATATTTTTTCACGCTTGGAAAACCCTCATTTTTTTTAAATATATAATAATCTATATTTATTCACTTTTGTATAATTAGTAACATTGTATCAAACTAAACAGAATAAGAGTAAAAAATAAAATTTAAAATTTAAAACTAATTAATAAAATAAAAAGTCAAAATTAAAGATGTCGCATAAATATTGTCTTGTTGAAATTATTATCAATCTTCGACAACGACGCGTAAAATTAGATGACTTTTTTAGCAAGTCTACTAATACGATCGAAGTAATAAAATAATTCGTCTCTACAAAAATCACAAATTTGAACAAAGTAATAATAATGCAATTAAAAATAAACAAAAGGGAAGGTTTCAGTTATGATATGTAAGAAAAATAAGCATGAGAAGAAATTTGGAGTAAAGTTTCGATAAAGAAGATCAATTAGATCTTTATTTCGAATCTCTTAACTATTTTTTGTAGATGAATGTGTATTACATAAATAACAATTACACTGTAATTTTACGGAGAATTAATAAGACCATTGCACCAAATTCCTTAGTGTACAACTCGATAATTTATACTATAATTCCCTAATTTCTTAGGTGAATTCAAAGTTAAACTCGGCGTTTCTCATTCGTTAATCCTAAAATCACAACTTATAATTACCTACTCCCACTCATCTAAAATCACTTTGCACGCTCGTCAACACACAAAGAATAGTAAGAACAAGAGCAATTGAATAATAATTATAACATAAAAGTATTCAAGTAATCTCAAACATTCATATGATCCAATATAGTACAATTAGGTTCATCTCTAAAGACCTAATAAAAAATATCTTAACTACTCATAGTGAAATTAACAATTACCACGAGTTAATAAGAAGAATTCTTAAAAATCAATGGAAAATAAGTTCTCCAATGACTTCAGTACTCTCCAAAATCGTTGTGAAAAGCTCATTGTCGTCACTTTTTTTGCCAAGAATTCGTAACCCTTAAAAAAGTTATCCACTTTTTTATTATTAATAGTGCTAGAAGTGTGTCAGAGAAAAGCATCATCGCGGCCAAGTTGCTCAATATCGTGATCACAATACATTGTCACCGTAATCGCGAGAAATCTAGGGGAGATTTTTTTTCTGAACTTTTATAAGCACTAACTTTTTACCACTTTTGCATTTTTGCTCAATTTTTCTTCTTCATATTTGCTTGGATTTTGCTCATAATCCCACTGATTCCGTCGAAAATACTCACAAATATTACGTAATGACAGAGTTTCATCATAACCATAATTCCTAAAAGAAACCCTACAATGGTTATGTTGAAGGTGTGAAGAAAATGTAAGAAAGGGGGGGGGGGGGAGTTTGAATTGGATTTTCCTTTCTTCTAAAACTTTCTCTTCTAAGCATTATTCGTTGAATAATGCTTCTGATTGTTGCTTCTAATTAATGCTTCTATTTTGGTTCAGAAAACATAAACTCTAAAGCATAAGCAAAAGTAAAAAAACACGCGATATATCCTGGTTCACTTGAGAAACCCCCAATCTAATCCAGTCGACCCCACCAAGGTGATTTCGCATTGAACTCAGGGACTTAATCTACTATAACCAAACTGATTACAATCGCATGGGAAACCGCCGGTGACTTACATCCAATGAAACATTCAGGGATCCAAACCGGATATAATGTTCATTGACCCAATAGATTCTGATTCTCCATAATCTCCTATCAGGATTTCCTTCCAATGATATCCATCAGGAATCTCAGAAGGCTAACCTTCACTCAGTCCCCTTTGAGATATGACTACCATTGACCCAATAGAATCCACTACAGGATTTCATCTATGATGGCCGCAGCCAAAGTCTTCTCAAGTCTTCTGATCTTCACTCGATCACTTGAGGTGCCAACAAATTCTAAACAAAATGGTTTTTATGG